ATCATCCATCCATCATCCATCCATCATCCATCCATCCATCCGTCCATCCATCCAGACTAAAGTATCAAACCTAATCGTGAATTTTCTGTATTGTTGCACCCCTAATATATAAACTGTATATATAGCTAATTTACAAGAATCTGACTTAATTCTAGTGATTTTAATATTTGAGAAACTGAATAAAACAACCTCAAATAACAAAATAAAGTGTTTTAGTGAGGTATGTTGCATTGTTTGATTGTTGGAGGGAACAATGTGACAAGTGATACTTTTTATTGGGCTGCATTGTGGGTGGGAGTGTGTTTGTGTGCGTGTGTGTGTGTGCGTGCGTGCGTGCGTGTGCGGATTTGTTGTCATCTGTTATCACATCCTGATAAGGCAGACAGCGGCTCCAGATTCTCTTGGAGGCAGACAGGAGAGTGTCGCTCCTGGTTTCAGGTTCCGTGTTTCAGGGTCCCAACCTGTTGTCTGTTTCCCCCCACCGTTTTTTTTTTTTTTTTCTCCTGACGCTTGTCTGCTCAGTTTCCCCCCCGGATGAAGGACGGACAGACGCCAAAATAGACTTATTAGGCACATTAATTTATCTGACTGGTATAAAGATGCAAACTTGTTCAGTCTCTCTTAGGCGCAGGGGACTTTGACTTTGCAGAAACGTGCGTAAAAATATTGCAGCATTGTGCGTAATGATAAGGTCAGATTCTTAATATATCATGCAAAAATATTTATTATTTTTCTGCATGCTTGCTTTTTATGTCTGTTACAAAAATCTATCCTGAACCAATAGTTTTGATGCAGCAGCTCCCTAGCTGCATGAATGGATGCATTTCTACAACTGGTTAGTCAACTCTCTGTTTGTTAGCAAAATAGCTCAATCAGTGTGCATGAAGTTTAATGCCTTAAAGCCAAACAGTGACAAAATTTTTACTTTTTATAGTTCACACAGTTTAAACAAAGACTCAGCTAAAATATATAAACAAAGTGAACTTCAAACTGTAATTAGTGACAAAACTACATTCAGAATACAAAGTTATTCTGTTAAACTTTATTGACTAATGACAAACTGGTCTGGTTTTACTGAAACTCTGTCACCCTACAACTAATTCATCTTTGCAGTCAATCCAATTTAAGATGACTGCCACAGATTGTTGACTTTACAAAACACGGAAAATTGCAATAACTCATCCGGTATGGAGCCCCCATTGGAGGATATTTTGCTTTACTTTCCATATGTTGTGTTCCTATGCAAAAGTTTTGCATCACCTAACAAAACTTTGTGGGATAGTCGCCAACTCAGAAAAATGGAACAGCATGTTTGAGTTTCATGGAGGGTTATTGTGAAAATTGGCCTTAAATCTAAAAACATTCTGTCTGTGCTTGMCGAAAGGCACGCAACCAGTGGCATCACTAGGCCTATGTTAGGGGGCTGGAGCCCCCCTAAAACAGTGGTTCCCAAACTTTTAATCTCCTGACCCACAAAATAACCATGGCAAAAACTTGTGACCCCGAATATTACTGGTCTGAGTACACAAACTTCATTAATAACCCTAAAAACACAGGCTTTTTGACAGTACTGTATAAACAGTTTGTGCACACATATAAATACTTAATTATAGTTATTTTGTGTTTTTGTCATAGTTATAGGGAAAATTTTACATCAGCAATTATTTTACTACCATTTAAATTGATTTCTGGAGATTATCCAAGGT